CGGGCGAACTTTTCCTCGACGCATACACGCCGGCCCAGCAAACGTTCAGCACTAATTCTCACAGTTTCACTTTTATTTGCTGAGGCTTCCCGAACATTGTTCCTTCGCCGCTGCCACCATGTTATGTATTGACGAAGAGTAACTCATAAAGGTATTTTACTGCTGGAGCTGGAGCTGGATTCTGCTTCAAGAACCATAGCAAGCACACAAACTGGCGAACAAGAGAGCGCGATATCAATCCGCGTTGACCTAACAATAAGGTACTAGATTATATAATGTGCATGCGCATAGTAAGTAGTCCATACTATTACAGGGGCTGCAAAGACACGTCTTTCTTTTCTGACTTTTTCGCATCTTTCTGCTTCTTGCGAGAGTAACTGACGGTTTCCCTGTCAAACTCCAGGGGCATGATGCCGATCTCTCCGTCGAACCTGTTCTTCGTCACCTATTGCAGTGCAAATAGAAAATAATAGTTACAAGATGCCTTAATATTTCGACACATACCTGAATGTAGCCCTGTAGGGTACACCAAGGAGCTAAATATAACATTTAGCTCCTTGGGTTACACTAATTCACACTCGCGAGTTGGCATGTGCCGCCATCTACCGGTCACACACGTTTCTATTCTCTTACACGAAAGGAAAAGAATGGCAACTGGTTGATAGCGCTAAACAATGTTACTAGGCTCCGATTTCTCGCAGAGCATACAGCACTGTGGTTTGATTAGTCAAAACTGGCCCCAGACAGTTTGAGGGCTACAAAGTAGAAAACCCCACATCCCACCACGTCCCTTTCGTACAAGATTTACGAGCACGCTCACACAGTGATATGATGACGTCACATCGCCCTTCCCCCACCCACCAGGAACACACCTGAGGTGTGTTCAATAGAGCGAACGCTCGATGCGACCGCTCGCTGCACGAACGCAGCGCCTCTTGAACGACACACGAGCGCTCGCTGTGCGCTCGCTTTATCCAAGATGGCGGCCCCATGGAGGGTTACTCAGCAGATTTTAATCGCGAGATTTTAATGTCTTCGAACAAGTACTGTTAAACGAATTAGCAGATGAAATTGATACGAATTGAATTTAGAAGTAAATGAATGAATGAAAAATGAAATGAAGTTGAAATAGATTGCAAATTGAAGTCAGAAATGTTAGATTCGCATTCGATAGATTGCCTGTCGCCCCGGGGGGTCACTATATATGCCAGTATTACCCCATGTGCGTTCTCACTAAAAATAATAAGCCCCCTAGTGCGAACTGCACAT